TTCGAATCGAAGACAAACCCCGATCCTTCTCTCCCGTTCTTCAGAAAGAGGGCAAGTGGTCCGGGTAGCTAGGCAACCCTGGTTGCTAGGGGCAACGAGGCTGGTGGCAGGGATGGTGATGAAAGTATGGTGCTTTTCCCGCCCCCCTCCATCGCTAGACAGTTTTCGAAGACAAACCCCGATCCTTCTCTCCCGTTCTTCAGAAAGAGGGCAAGTGGTCCGGGTAGCTAGGCAACCCTGGTTGCTAGGGGCAACGAGGCTGGTGGCAGGGATGGCTACGTGATAAAAGTTCCTTTTTTTCGGGAGTGTGTTCTCCTGGCTTTCTATGGGGTCCTTTTGGTCTCATCTTCCCCTTCTGCTTATCCACTCCCCAGCCCCCCTTTGCCAGTAAGGCTTGCAAACGGCAAGGAAAAGCAACGGCCCTTTTAGATGGCTTCCTGTCGGAAAGAAAGACCCTTGGAGGGCTGGGCTGGTCTGGGGGGGGGCAGAGCCATAGGGGCTCTCGGATCCCGAGCCAGCCTGGCTCCTGGATTTTGCCCCCGTGGTGACTCTCAGCCGGCCACTGGTCTCTGGACCTTGTCGCTTTCTTTTGGGGAGTGTTTTCCTGTCCTACCTTGTCTGCCTGTTGTAAAGGCTAGATAGGGGGTGTGCCCGGAGATTCCAGATCTGTTCCGGGCGGCTTTCTTGTCTCAGCCTTGCCGTGAGCTCTGAGGCAATGGGACCGGACTTAAACCTGGTGAAGAAGGGGCTCAGGCGGGGCTCGCCCCCCAAGCGGTGAGCCAGCTGACCCTTCTTGGCCAGCCTCCGGGAGCCTCCGGGTGCCCGGGTACAGCGTGTGGGTCTGCGTTTGCCAACGCTTCTCGCTCTCTGAGTGGCACAGCAGCGACGCCGGCTTGTTTACTCCGTGGCTGGCACCGGGTGGCGAGGGAGACGCCCTCTGGGCTCCAGCTGGCCGAGGGTTTTCCCTTCCGTAGGGGAGGGGGCACAAACGGGCCGGTCAAATCAGGGAGGAGCAAAGATTCCCCCCCCCCAAAAAAAAGAGTAGGCGTTTTTTGAAGCAGGAGGGGGGCTCCTTTTCAACTTTTCTCCTCAACGACGGCTCGGCGAGGTAGGCCCTGCATTCACTCCGTTGAGTGTTGTGGCTCAGTGGGGATTCCAACCTGGGTCTTCCGTGTCCCGCCTGACCCAGTCTTGGCAGGTGACGGTTCTGCGGAGCCCTAGAAGGCAAAGGAATTGCTAAGGTTTCCCAAAGGCCATCTAGACTGACCCGTGACCAGTGGGAAGGACCCACAGCTAAAGCCTCCGTGAAGGATGAACCTTGGTTCAAACGTCTCTAGCGAAGGAACCCCCAGCCTTGGCTCTCACGACAACCCTTCGGGGGGGGAGCAATCATTCTCTGCCTACCTAGCAGGGCTGTCATGAAGATAGCGATGAGGGACCCGTGGTCATTCCCTTTGGGCTCAGTAGCAGAATTGAAATGAAGCAAACACCTCGTCCTAATTTTTTAGGCAAAAAAAATCTCCTTTTTCTGTAATTTTGGGTTTCTGGGCTTCCAGATCTGGCGGAGAACGTAACCCACCCTTTGTCTGTCCTTCCTCGCAGGGAGAGAAGAACCATGGCTTTGATGTCCTTTATCACAACATGAAGCATGGGCAGATCTCGGTCAAAGAATTGGCGGAGTTTGTGCGGGAGAGGTACGGGGCGGCCAAGGGCAGGTGGGAGGCATTTTTAATTGATCTTTCCTAAGTGAGATGATTAGCAACCCAGGGTGTGTAAATCTTGCCTTAGCCGTGGCCCTTGTGGTTGATGCAAAGGTTAACCATGGTTGTTGTTGTTTTTTGCCCCAGATTCTTCTGGGCTGGTTCACCAAATGTACACACACAAAGACAGGCGCCCTAAAGTAATTAAGGCTGCCTCTTCCCAATTAGCAGCCTCCGAGTCCGACTGACCTAAAAAGGGGCCTCTTAAAATGAGCTGAGCTGGCGCGCATTCTGGGCAGGCTGGGTTGCAACTCCCACTCTCCCCCAGGCCAGCACCATGGGAGTTGTAGTCCGGTCCCTCTTGGGGAGGCTGACTATTCCAGAAAAAAAGGGGACGGTCCGGGACGGCTTCCCTTCCTGTCCGCTCTCTTGACCCTGTCTTCTCTCTGGTTCTCCCGTCAAGGGCGGCTGTGGAAGAGGCCTACGCCAAGTCCATGGTGAAGATGTCAAAGGTGGCCGGCAACAGCACCCAGCTGGGGTGAGTGAGGAGAGGCGCCGGCATCCCCCCTGGAAGGCCAAGTGACCTGCGGCGCCTTAAGGCTGGCACGCTTTGATGCGGCAGCCATGTCCCTGGTCTGTAGCCTGATTCTCCCGTGTCTTCTGTGGCCCTCCAGGTGCAACCACCTCTTATCAATGAACGGGCAAATTAGGGGGCAAATGAGCAGACCATTGTCTTAGAAAGAGGGGCAGGTGATCAGGGTGCAATAGCTTTTCGGGGAGAGTTGAGTGGTCAGGAGAGCCAGGAAAAGTTAATTTTGGGGGACGGTCAAGGACCAGAGTCTTGGATGGATGGCCAAAGGGGTTAGGGGGTGGGCATCCAG